ATCAAAGTATAGAGATTTAAATGGACAATTAATGAGTATTTTTGGGCTGCACTGTGATCCTTAAACACAGTGTTTGAACATGTCATCAAATGATTCTTGTTCTAAATATGCTTAAAGTTTTTTTTCTATATTAACCCATTTTTGTCTTTGACTCGTTTACTAATTAACAAATGTAAGCATTTATATCGGTGTATCATAAAGCAACTGATGCTAATTCACAATTTTTTCTAATTCTAACATTATTCTGTTTCTTCATTAAAATAAAGGTAGATATCTAGAAAAGAACTGTGAGGAAAGCATTGGGAAGCATAAAGACAGAAATAAATGTAGATATCTGTAAGCAACAGATACCTTCAGTCTGTTGACACCAATGTAATGAGCTTTAAGTGGCGATTTACAGGAGATCTGAAGACATCAGCTTAATACATGAGGTGAAAGCAGGACTATTGTCATGAAATACAGAGTGTTTTCAGCAGCTGTTAATATTGATGAGCCTCAATCAACACTCATTCAACAAGACATTCAGGATCATCAGCAGATCATCTCACTTTATCTGAGAGTTTCTGTTAGAAACACATTATCTGAGTCAGGATAGATGCTAACAGCCTATAAAAGTGTTCTACTGAAAGATAATACTGTTATAAGTAACACAATATGACACAAACAATACAAAAACAAACACTAATGTAACTCATCTTCATTAACCACTCCAGCTAAATAACTACAGCAGCATGTCCATATGAATCTAAATATAGTTTGATTTTCTAAGTACATTCACTGGTAATTATTAATTATAACGTAAATGCTAATTTTGTGAGTAGAAACGGACGACTATTGTAAAACTTCCAAAAGCACCTAGCACCTAAGCACTAATATTTCCAGCATCAAACTATATTCATATTTACCTATATTAACATTTACGTACATATTAAATGTCTCACGTAGCTCATTATCAGCTCAATGTGAACTATTAAACATTATCAAAACAAAGTGTGTTTGTGCACACCTGGTGAATAAAGCTCACACTGATTCTGAAGAGCCATGTTATGCACAGAAGCCTGGTGTGTGTGTTCTTCTTGTGGAAATAGTTTTACACAGATATATTATTTAGTGGCCCACCAGAAAATACAGAACATTGGGAGTTTGTGTGTGCTTTGAGTGCTTCAATTTTATTTTATTTTTTAAA